AGTTCCCTGCCATGTTCAAGGGACAGAGGGAGGGGTGTGATGGTAAGTTAGTGAGATAGGAGTGCAGGCTTACAGATAGCCGTATTTGAGGCGATCCATTGACTTTCATGATTTATTCATTGTGGTGATCGTGTGACGCCACCCTGACTGGCAAGAAAATGAATGCTCTCCGATGCTTGTTGGTGTCAAGGCGCTGTTTTCCATCTGTCCGACACGTATTGTTTCCATATCTATTTGGAAATAATCTACTTCTCATGGTCCCGAGTGCTACTGTATGTATCGCTTGTCGTCCTTGCGTGCATGCGCAGGTGTGCGCACAGAGACACACGCTTCAAGTCAAAACGTGTATGCACAGGTGTGTGCACAGAAACACTCGTCACATACACCCCCTCTAACTTCACGCATACGTGTGCATGCGCTTGTGTGCGCACAGAGACACCCCTTGCAAGTCCACGCGTGCATGCGCAGGTGTGCGCACAGAGACATTCATCCTATGTACTGTCTTTAACGTTGTTGCGTGCATGCACAGGTGTGCGGACAGAGACACACTCCCTTCAACTCGACGCACCCATGCAGGAGCTTGTGTACGCGCAAAGACATTGATCCCGTACACCATTTGCACGTCGTTGCGTGCATGCGCAGGTGTGCGGACCGAGATACACTCACTTCAACTCGACGCATTTGTGCATATGCATACGCAGGTGTGCGCACAGAAACACTCATCACATACACCCCGTCTAACTCCACGCGTACTGAAATGATAGGGCCATGACTTTGCCCAGGCCCCCCGTCACACAAATGGCCTCACCCGGGCCCCCAGCGGACACGAATGAGCTGCTGGAGCGGACCTGGCCTTTGGATGCTGTCAATTAGTCCGTCAAGTTGTCACTCACCGCAAGGTCTCGACAACACACTGGGACATATTGAAGGATGGTGACGGGAAGGGGAGAAGTCTTTCATGAATTTGCTGCCTGCCTGCCTGCCTGCCTGCATGCAAATGCACTCCAGATGGAATGGCCTGATTTTCAACGTCTGTGTGTATGTATGCTGGACGGGTTTCTTTTTTCCTCGGTCGCTCGCTGTAGGCCTGTTTGAGTGAGCGGCTTTACCTTCCATATGTCGTTTAACGAGCCCGCAAGCCCATGACATATGGGACTTGAGTGTAAACAAACGGGCGACGCTACGCAGATCGTTCTGAGTGTCAAACAAGGCGTGCACTCTTCGGAAGTGTCTTGCTTATGAATTCGTCCATTATTCTGTCCCTCTCCTTCTTCATTTCATCTTTGCTAAGCTGGTGCGTGCAGGCAAATATACCTCAGCTGCGTGCAGCAAATTACGCAAAGAGGGTAACTTCTCTCCTGCATCATTCGTGCTCCCTGTGGAAATACATTAAGTCATAGCGCAACTGCAGGCAGAGTCTGTCGGTCTCTCATGAAATGAAGTGTGCCAATCGACTAACTCTCAATCACAATCACGCGACAAACATGCCAGCACCATCCTCAGCGCCCGCCTGGCGTATCTTCCAGCGACGCCGCCCACGACGCACACACAAACTCGCACTACGTGCCAACGCAACAGACAAACGAACACGAACCCACCCCATCACCTGGCTATACGACTTGTCTGCCCACGCAGCCTTGGTGCGCAGCTTCTCAACCAGGCGGCTGAAAAAACCATTGGCCTCTCTGCCCTACACACCATCCACCGTGACGCACAAGGGGGTGAAGTGGATGGACTTGTCCTCGCACACACGGCTGTGGTGGGCCTTCTTGGCCTTGGCCTTGTTCTTGGGGATGGAGGCGGTCGATTGATTGCGGTAGGACGACGCGTCAGCGCTTGTCACGCAGAGGTCAAACGACACATCCTTCTGCCGCTCCCACACCCCCCTCACCACCATGTCCGTCCGCACCCCCTTCTCCCCTCCTCGGGCTCCACGATTATCACCTCCTTCCTGACCGCCGACTCGCCCCAAGCCTTGGTAGAAAGGTCGCACAGCACGTCCACCACCTCGTTGTGCCGCCGAATCATCAACCCACCCACCCCACAGTTGAGGGCGTGGTCGAGCGAGTATGCAGCCTCGCAGCCGTCGCAGTGGGTGGGCATCTTGGGAGGTTCATAGGCGTACCGGATGGCCATGTTGTTGCGGAACTCGTTCGGCGTCAGGTCGGTGTGGTCCTCTGCGTCAGGCCGGTAAGTCACCCACCTAGCCGTCTTGGCCTCGATCGCCCGGTGGACCGCCCGTCGTTTCTCTAAGGGCAGCTGCTGGAGGTCGTCCTTGAAGCGCTCCTTGGCTGCCTCATCGGTCGCCCGCCGCCGCTCCTTGACCGCTTGCTGCATCTCGGCGCGGTGCTGGAAGGGGTTGAATGGAGGGCCGTCAGGTGGGTCGCCGTCTTGAATGGTGGACACCAGCAGGGAAGTGCCCTTGGTGGACGTCTCGTATGCCATCGCCACTCGCTTCGTCGCGTCCCTCACCTCCATCCCCCCATGACGCGCAGGCAGCATCATCAGCTGGGCCTCAGTGGCGGTCACCGCATGGCTGGAGAGCTGGGTGAGGTAGTGAGTGAGGGCGTCTCGCAGCGGCTCGAATGTCGCACGCTCCTCAGGCATCACCCCTATGAAAAAATCCCACTCGGCCTGCAGAGACGTTGTGAGTGCTGTGTGGGCTGCCTTCGCGTACTTGGCCGCTGCGTCCGCCATCCGGTTGACACACCGCTGCCACTCCCGCACCATCTCGGTGGCGTAGGCCTCTTTGCCATTCGCGGTCCACACAAATCCCCCCATGTATCGAGTGCCACTGACGATCTCCATGTCGGTATCGCCAAACACCTCTCGCGCCCGCTCCTCGCAACCCGCCCGTACCACCAGTTTGCTCTTCTTGCCGTTGGGGTGATAGCCCCTCAATGGCCCTCTCCGCTGCAGCTCATCCCACCAATCACGCACCGGCTGGAGGTCTTCCACCTTGGCGGAGTCGTTGGCAAACCACGCCTCGGGGCCCTCCTCTGCTGGCCGCTTCATCTCGCATACGAGGGGCAGGGTGGCCACAGAGTAGAAGAGGGAGGCCAAGGGGTCGCCTTGTGTCGTCCCTTCTCGACTCCACAGCGGCGCGGATCGAGTTCATCAACACCACCCCACTCCAACACGCGAGTGACCGCAGAGGCGTGGCCCTTCCAGGAAGCCAGATGGATCGCATAATTTCCGTTCTGCATGCGTGTTAGGGGTGTACTGTTTGATTCTATCTGTTGATATCCTTATTTCCTCACATCATCTTGCTGTGCAAGTAGGGCTTGGCCTTTTTCAGCATACATCTCCTCCATCACCTTAACGCAACCAGAACTCGCAGCGATGTGAAAGAGTGTGTTATCATTCTGCAACCCTCAGCCATAGACACAGGGAGACAGCCACGCAGTTGATACAATATATGTGCCTTTCCTTTGTTGCGTCTGTCGAGTTCAACAACACCACCCCACTCCACCACGCGAGTGACCGCAGAGACGTGGTCATTCAAGGAAGCCAGATGGATTGCATAGTTTCCGTTCTGCATGCATGTTAGAGGCACATTATTTGATTCTATCTCTTGAAAGTAACTTGACATCTTATTTCCTCACTTGATCTTGCTGTGTCAGCAGGGTTTGGCCTTCCTTGGCATACATCTCCTCCATTACCTTAACGCAACCAGAGCTCGCAGCGAAGTGGAAGGGTGTGTTATTATTCTGCGACCCTCAATCATAGACACAGGGAGACAACCACGCAGTTGATACAATATATGTGCCTTTACTTTGTTGCGTCTGTCGAGTTCATCAATGCCACCCCACTCTAACACACGAGTGACCGCAGAAACGTGGCCCTTCCAGAAGCCAGATGGATTGCATAGTTTCCGTTCTGCATGCATGTTAGAAGCACACTGTTTGATTCTATCTGTTGATATCCTTATTTCCTCACATCACCTTGCTGTGTCAGCAGGGCTTGGCCTTTTCTGGCATACATCTCTTCCATCACATCAACGTAACCAGAACTCGCAGCGAAGTGGAAGGCTGTGTTATTATTCTGGAGCCCTCAACCATAGACACAGCGAAACAACCACCCAGTTGATACAATATATGTGCCTTTACTTTGTTGCATCTGTCGACTTCATCAATACCACCCCACTCCAACACGCGAGTGACCGCAGAGACCTGGCCTTTCCAGGAAGCCAGATGAATTGCATAGTTTCCGTTCTGCATGCATGTTAGAAGCACACGGTTTGATTCTATCCGTTGATATCCTCACTCTCTCACATCATCTTGCTGTGCGAGTAGGGCTTGGCCTTTTTTGGCATACATCTCTTCCATCACATCAACGTAACCAGAACTCGTAGCAAAGTGGAATGCTGTGTTATCATTCTGCAATCCTCAGCCATAGACACAGGGAGACAACCACCCAATTGATACAATGCATGTGCCTTTACTTTGTTGCGTCTGTCGAGTTCAGCAACACCACCCCACTCCAACACGCGAGTGACTGCAGAGGCGTGGCCCTTCCAGGAAGCCAGATGGATCGCATAGTTTCCGTTCTGTATGCGTCTTAGGGGCACACTGTTTGATTCTATCCGTTGATATCCTTATTTCTTCACGTCATCTTGCTGTGCGAGTAGGGCTTGGCCTTTCTTGGCATACATCTCCTCCATCGCATCAACATAACCAGAACTCGCAGCGATATGAAAGGGTGTGTTATCATTCTGCAACAAGTGAAACACCAGTGCTTTGAGCACTGCTTCATGTTTTTTTACCTTCTCTTTAAGCGTCAAGATATCCATTCCTCCAAGCTCGAGCAGCGTCGTCACGATAGCCACATGACCCTTCTCGACCGCCAGATGCAATACAGTAGGTTTGTTCTGATAGAAATTAGGATGACATCTCAAGTCGCCTGTTGCCATTGGCTACTATCATTGATGTCAGCTCACCATCATTTTTGCTTTGTTTTTGATTAGGTCTTTGCCGCCTTTGGCCACTATCTCTCTGACGATGTCCTCATGGGCGTTTTGTGTAGCGAAGTGAAGTGCCGTGAAGCCCTCCTGCAATCGACCAAACACCAATATTTCCGCATCGTTGTGGGCGAGCCCAGCGCTCTGTCTCACCTCGTTGGTTTCCTGCAGGCATTCGACGCCTTTGACTTCAATGATCTGCACGACAGTCTCCTTATTGCCCTCCGCACAATCCTCGAAAAGGCTCACCTGCGAAGAGCATACAGTTAGTATAGACTTATGCTACCATTCAGTGAGCGCATGTTGTCTACCTCCTCGACAGCCACAATCGGTTGGCTGCAGCGCCAAAGGGCCTCCATCGGGACATTTTTGTTTCCCTTCGTCAGCTCAAGACTTTTGCTCTTGCCGAAAGTCTTGACACTTATCACATAACCCGGCAGCCCCACACATTTGATGGTCACCATTTGGTCCTCGAACTTACTGCTTCCCCTTATGGTCTGCTCCCCCTCTTGCTCAAAATGCATGTCGGCCGATACAAGCAGTTGATCTTTGGAGCGCCGAAAACAGAGGAGAGAGCATAAGCCTCTTTCTGCCGTCGGCTGCATAAGGTTTTGCTTCTTGGTTGGGACCATAATCCACTGCTCGTATTTTGCCTCCCCCTTGCTGTCGTTCACATCCGTCTCAATCGTTGGCGCATCGAGGACAAGCGTGTTGTCCACCAATGGGTTCACTGTTAGTGTCTTGTCGGGAAACGCTGTCGACACCAGACGGAAAGCGCCTTTTGGGCAGAATTTGTGGCAGCGAATCAGCAGACCCTTGATCAGCTGCGCGCACTCCACCCCGACGCCGCTCCCATCGACAGGCCCGCCGCGCCGGCAGGTGACGCCCCTCGCTTGGAGACCAACCGTGACTTTCTTTTGGCTGCACTGAAGACCGCGCCACGCGGGGCGGCCGCCGGACCGACCGGCTGGCGATATGAGCACCTCCAAGTGCTCCTTGGCGAGGCCCACACCAACGCGGAGGCTGTGCCCGTTCTCAGGTTCGTGCAGCGGATGTTAGACGGCGACTTGCCCCCACTGGTGACGAGACTCCTGGCCGCCGCCCGCCTGTTCGCCTTGGAGAAGCCGGGGGGCGGTGTGCGACCCATTGCCATTGGCGACGTGCTTCGTCGGTGGGTGACTCGGGCGTTGTGCATGCAACACAAGCTGGACTTCGAGGAGGAGTTCCGGCCCCCTCAGTTTGCTGTCGGCACGTCAGCTGGCGGCGAGAAGCTCTTCCGAGCGGCGCAGACCTACATCCAGACGCAAGACGCCGTCGGCCAAGATGCGGACGGGCGGCCCATCACTCGCACCCTCCTGTCCCTCGACTGCCGCAACGCCTTCAACGAAATCGGCCGCCAGCATATCATCGACGAGCTCGCCGTCAAGCATCTTGCCATGGTCGCATTCTTCTGGCAGTTCTACGGCATAGCTGCGCTATTGTGGTACACGATGGAGGACGGGCGCGTCGAGACCATCCACAGTCGTCAAGGCGTACAGCAGGGTGATGCGGCAGGCCCCTTCCTTTTCTGCCTCGCCTTTCAGCCGGCCCTCCGTCGCCTGCAAGAGCAGTTCCCCGCTGCGCTTGTCGGGGGCTTCATGGATGATGGGCTGAGGGGGATGGACGAACGGGACGTCCCCTCCTTTCTGACGGCCGCCGACGCCGAATTCCGCGCGATCAACCTGGTGCTGCGACTGGATAAGTGCCATGCGTGGTCTCCGCATTGGCGCTCGGCCGCTGACCTTCCGACTGCCACCATAAGTCGAGGTGTGCGCGCGTCCACCGAAGGGATCATCCTCTTGTCCGCCCCGATTGGCACCCCGGCTTTCATCGAGCGCACTGTGAATAAGGTCGTCGCCAAGCATCAGCGCCTCCTCGACGCCGTCGTGGCCTTTGCTGTCGATATATTGGGAGCACGCAGTGCAGGGAGCGAACCTGCTCCTTCGCTACTGTGGGTCCCCTCGCTTTCTCTACTGGTGCCGCCTTCTTGCCCCCTCCTCGTCGCTCTTAGCGGCCGCCCGTGTACATGATACTGCGAAGGTCACCGCGTTCACCAGCATCCACCGCACGGGCGCCCTATCTACTCCGACACACCGGCAGGTGCAGCTCTCCATCCGGTTGGGGGGCTTCGGTTGGTGTCGTCTGCGCGTGTCGCGCCGGCTGCTTACCTGAGGTCCGTGGTCGTCACCGTGGGGGATGTGTGGGATCGTTTCTGTGAGCAACCTTACATGCCTAAGTCTGAAGCCTCTCTTCTCCAGCTGGGATGGCTCGTCTCGGCGGTATTTGCCCGCATCGATTTCTCCGCATCCCTCCCCTTTATCGCCATCCCCCCTATCGCGCAGCTCATCGCACGCTCGCAGGCTCGGCTGCAGCAGAAGATCTCTGAAGCCCTCGCACAGAAGGACTTCAACACCCTCTTCGAGTCCTTCCCGGCTGGTAGCCGTGGTCGATGCCGCCTTCTCTCCTGCCTGGGGCCTTTGTCGTCTGGCTGGCTGTCGGCCATCCCCGCATATACCCGAGGTGACAAGCGCAAGTGCCTGAACAACTACGCCTACCGCCTCGCCACGGCTCTCACCCTTGGCATCACTTTCCCCCTCGCCAGCCTCGCATCGTCATGCTCGTGCGGAGCGGCCATCGACGCCTTGGGGGACCACTTCTTTCTCTGCAGCCGCGCGACGGCGGAGCGCGTGTTCAAGCACAACACTCTGCTGGACGTCTTCAAGGCCATCCTTGTGGAGATGGGCATCACGGCTGTCACAGAAGTGCCCCTGCGCTTTCTCGACATCACCCTTCCAAACGCCCAGCCCAACAGTCAGCGCATGGACCTCTTCTTCCCCATCGACGGCGAAAGTGTCCTGTGCGACGTCACGGTGGTCCATCCGTATCGGCCCGAGAACTCCACCGCCCACCACACTCAGGTCAACCGCAGGCATGCACGTCGGCCGGGCGGCGTTGCAGTTGCGGGGGCGGAGCGGGACAAGGACTGCAAGTACGGTGCCAACTGTCGGCAGAAGGGCTACACGTTCGTGCCTCTAGCGGCGGAGACGTTCGGCCGTTGGGGTGGAGAGACCCTCACCCTGCTTCGCCGCCTGGCACGACGCCGCGTCGCCCCACCCGCCAGCTCTGCAGAAGATCGTGCGTTTTTTCATGAGGGTGTCATGAACCATTGGGGGCAGTTTTTGTCGGTAGCGCTGATGTGTTGGAATGCTTTTCAAGTGTCCTGCCGCACACACTATGCGGCCGATGCTCGGACACAGCAATGGGCAGGTCTGTTTTCTGAGGACCTCGTCTCTCGAGGGCCCTACAGGGCGCAAACCCGCACGTTTGCATGCCAGGACCGGCCGTGAGGGATTTGTTTGGGAACGTGATGTTAAGGGTTGGGTTTGGGCTGCATGGTGGTTTGATGGTGCGTGCGCTAGTCGCTTATGTGATTGCGTTTGATAGGCTGTTCGGTTTGTATCGGACTGCTGCTGCCAATGTGCGAGTACATTGCCGACTATAGATCAGATGTGCTGGTCGCCGATGCTTCTGTGAAAGCGAATTCGACAGTCAACACGTGCATGCGCAGGGGTGCGCATTAGTCGACACGTGTATGCGCAGGGGTGCGCACATAGACACTCATCATGTACACACACTCCAGATACACGTGTATGCGCAGGGGTGCGCACACAGACATTGGTCATATACACACACTCCAAGTCGACACGTTCATGCGCAGGGGTGCGCACAGGGGTGCGCACACACGTCTGGACTTGGAGTGTGTGTATATAATGAATGTCTCTGTGCGCACACCTGCGCATGCGCGTTTGGACTTGGGGTGTTTGTAAATGATGAATGTCTGTGTGCGCACACCTGCGCATACACGTGCCGACTTGGAGTGAGTGTATATGATGAATGTCTCTATGCGCGCACTGACAAATGCTCGTTTGGACGTGAAGTGTGTGTGTCTAATGAATGTCTGTCTGTGGACACCTGCGCCTGCACGTTTGCACTTGAAGTGTGTGTACATGATGCATGTCTGTGTGCGCACACCTGCGCGTGCACGTTTGGACGTGGAGTGTGTGTACATGGTGAATGTCCCTATGGGTACATGGTGAATGTCCCTATCTGGACACCTGCCCATGCACGTTTGGACTTGAAGTGTGTGTATATGATGAATGTGTGTGTGCGCCACCTGCGCATGCACGTATGGACACGTCGAAAGCATCGTTACCGACATCTCACACACAATCTGTCTCGGACACAGTAGATAACATCGCAGAGCACAGAGGAGAGGCGCGCGCCCAAGAGAGGCCTCACGTGGTCAGGGACGTTGGACTGTTTCTATTTATACATATCGATACGCGACTGCTCACCGATGCGTGAGTGATAGTCGACGGATGCGTGTGATTCGTTTCATGACGGGCCGATAGACTCTACCTGCCGGTGGGCGATGCGTTGAATGAATTGGAATCGATCATGGAGTGCTCGATATTCAACTAAGTTTCGTCGTTGATCTCTTCAATGCGTTATGTGGGTAGTGAGTATCTTGCGAATGTACAGAAAGTACAACCAGAAAAGCGACTGATTAGAGAGCCGAGTGTGCACAAAACGATTAGAGTGCCGAGTGTGCGCTGTCTATCTCACCGTTTCAGCCTTTTTTTGCATCCCCCTCTCGCACACATTGCCACTCGCATCCCTCTCGCGTTCGGTTTGCAGCGATCTGCCGACTTATCGTCTTCTCCCACTCTCGATATCGTCTTTTCCCACTCTCGATTGACGTTCACCTCCTTTCTCTTCCGTCTGAACTGGAGCCATGAATTGCAAGCAGCGGATCAACAAGTGCATGTCCCCTCCCATGTCGCCCCCCCACTCGCCAGAAGCCATCGACATGAACATCGACCCGCCCTCGCCCAGCCAAGAGGGTGCCGGGCAGGACGGCCAGGAGGCTGCCGATGGTGAGCAGCAGCAACTGATGGATGAGGCTGAACAAGCACTGCTGGGCGGTGAGGGGCAGGAGGAGGAGCCACGCCATGGCTTCGAGGACTACCGTGACGCGGACAAGGGCGGCGGTGAGGCGGCGGAGTCGCCTGACGACAATGGTGGACCACCTGAGATGGACCCATACAATGACGGGTACGGATGTATGCACGTATGCGTCAGCAGACATGTTCTCGCTCAGCTCCCCCTTCCCTCCCTCCCTCCCTCCCTGGGTGACTGCAGTCCTGACAATGAGGGCAGTGAGGGTCAGGAAGCTGGGCGTGACGGCGAGGAGCTGGGTGACGGCCCGCATGACCAGCAGCACGACAACGGAGACTTTGAGGGTGGCGGTGATGGCTCAGTGGACGAAGATGAGGCTGCTCCTGCCGCTAATGGAAGGTGAGAAGAAATGCAGAAGGTGTACATGCCAGCATTTGGTGACCCCCTGTCGATTGTTGTCTCTCCTACGTGCCCTCCTGGCTGCAGGCCTTCCCCTCCCCGCTCACCCCCAACGCCGCCTCCCTACTCGCCCGGCGGTATCGACATGCATCTCGACCCCCACCCGCCCCATTGCGATCAAGACAACAGCCGACAGCTCGACGGGCCGGGCCCAGAGGAGGCGCATTGCGATGCCGATGAGCCCGATGTCGACGTCGATGAGCCACAGGCAGAGAAGGTGGATATGGGCGAGGAAGGGCAGGAGAGTCGTGACCATGACGCCGCCGACAACAGTGGTGCCGTCGGTCAGCAGCTGCGTGAGGACGGATTGCTTGATGAAGACCACCAGGCGGGCCAAGATGACGCTCGTGACAACCGGCACGGCCGCGGCGGGTACGTAGCGAGCTGGCAAGTCAAGGAGGAGAGGGCAGGAAGGGAGTGCATCCATTGCATTTGTCCTTTTCTCTGTACAATTGCACGCAGCCCTGATCATGATCACGAGAAGCATGAGGATAAGGGCGACGAGCCCCCTGACGCACCGGACGGACTGAGCGCACAAGGCCATCAGGGAGGCCGCAGCGGGTACGCAGAAAGCTGGCAAGTGAAAGAGGAGAGGAGAGAGCAGGGAGGGAGTGCATACGTGACATCACATCACATGTGATGCATGCAGCCCTTCTTCGGTCGCCTGTCGGGGCTCTCGTCATGCCGATTGTCTGTCTGCGAGCGAGCAGGAGGACAGTGAAGGGCAGGCTGACGACCAAAGGCCAAAGAGTCGCTCTGCCAAGCCGTCACGTACACAACCACCCCCACCAGCAGAAGACCGCCGTGAGGAGATCGATCACGACTTGGCGGCTGAGGACGGTCGTCACAGGCATGCGGACACTGCCGATGCCGGCGGTGCTGATGCGTCGCGCGGAGGTGGTGGTGCTCATCGCATGGACAGGGCGGGTAGTGCCTGTTCTCGTGAGCAGGATGAGGATGGCCACGGCCCTTTCGCCGATGCTATGGATATCGGTGAGCACACAGACCACACACAGGCACATGCAGCCGGTCTGTCGGCATGCGTTCATCCACAACGCTCTCCCTCTGTGTGTGTGCATCGATGTATCTAGATTTGGGAGGCCCTGCAGCAGCAGCCACTCCAGCGGCGGCTGACAAGGGCCCTTGTGTTGGCTGTGGACAGCAGGCGGGCCATGATAACACCCTCGGCGGGCACGAGCGCCGTGGCGGGTAGGTAGCTGGCAAGTGAAGGAGGAAATGAGGGGGCAGGGAGGGAGGGAGTGCATCCAATCAATCACATTTGTCTGTCCTCTTTCTTTCCCCAGCAGTGCTGATGACGGCATACCAGCAGCCAGGGATGCAGAGCCTCAGGACGGCCGCCCATGCCACAAGCGGATCTGCAAGTGGATCGGAAGACACATCGGCTTCGTCGTGGCCCTTGTCATCAGCTGTGTGCTGGTCGGTCCATCCTTCGGTCTGATTTTTTTCTGGAGAGGGGCACCAGCAAAACCACTGCTGATCATGAGCGATGTTTCTGGGTGCCCAGCGGCAAGGCCGGTAGTGTATTTGCAGCGTGTTCAAAAGGCTGTCGACGTATGCTTCCAGATGACCATACGAAACACAGCAGGTACGATTGTGCTAGATGCCGATAGTATAGAAGGTATGAGATACCGTTGTGTTTGGATCCGAACAGGTTGGAAATGGGATGAGGAGTGTTCGGAAATCCGTCTGACGGTCAAGCACTTCAAAGTCTCAGGCATCAAGCTAGGAGAACAAGAATGGACGAGTCATACGGAACGACAACCGCAAGGGCTCACTACGGAAATCGTCATCGATAAAGATAAGGCGGATGGCTTCTCTGGTGAACCACTACTACTAAATTTTACACTTTCGAAGGCCGACTCCGACTCCGAATTGCCATATAAGCAGACCAGCGATGGGTATGAGCTGTGGATTGATGTATCTTTCTGTACGGAGAGGCCCCGTACAGAGGGGCCTTGCGTTCGGGATCCCTTTTTCTCCAATTATGTTAATGTCTTACTCGAAGACGGAGAACGAGTAGATTCCTCGTTGCCTGAGCCTGATTACTTGGGACGCGATGGCGAAAGAGCTCTCCTACGGTGGAATAGAGGTGTGGTTTCTTCTGAAGTACAGGAAGCAACCACCGCCCCACCTGAAGAAGATAAAACAACCACCGCCCCACCTGAAGAAGAGGTGGTTTCTTCTAAAGTCCTTATCGCACCACCACACCATCCCTCTCTCATCTTTCTATTTGTCGACGCGGATGGTATACGGAAGGGGGCTGAGGATTGGAACATAGGTTGGGGATCATCACTGGGTGTTGGTGTTGGGATATTTTTCAGCGCGTTCATAGCTTTGTTCAAAGGGGATCGGAAAGTCAGCGAGATCCTAAGAATGACGAGGATGCAGGCAACCGAGGTGGACAGATCAAGAGCGTACCGGGAAGGAGATCCGGAGAACCGCGTAGATAGGGGGGGCGGAGGAGAGATTAATGTGACGGTTGAGGGCGATGGCGGTGCACTTGAGGATTGAGAGGAGACGCGCAAATCCGTGAAGGAGCTGCATTGCGTCACGCCGCCGCTCTCCACGCTGCCGGTCGAGGTCTGATTCATTCACTTATCCACTGGCGCCCATACTGAGTTACTGACTGTTGCTTTTGTGCGAGGGAGGGGTGGATGAATCGGTGTCCACATGGAGAGTCCTCTGCGAGATAGGTCGTGGTTGGTGAGGGCGTGGAGGGACAGATGGCCTCTCACTCGATCGGGAGTACAGTCGAAAGTACCTCTGAGGGGAGGGGGATGAAGCATACGTATCCTACTCACCTGCCTGGTCCTTTTCGTGGTCAGGTGGACTTCTGTTCTGTAAGTGACTGTCTCACTCTTTTTCCGTTTGGGGTGGTGTTTGGCCCGGGTCTTTTTCAGCTACCTGAGTGACCGGCTGAACAATCCGCGTGTGAGTGAGGATGAACACGGCAGTCTGCAGTAGTCTGCACTGCTCAGGAGTTCCTTGGCCGATACTCATCAGGAGCTCTTCTTGACCGATACTCACTGGTTTTTCGGTTTCTGCCACCTTGTCCCGTGGTGGCTTTTCCTCCGTTCGTTCCCTCCTCCTCTGGCTTGGCTCTACCCATTCTCTGCCCCTGTATGGTCGGTTGGTGTAGGTATTTTTCTGCTGTGGGAGCCCAGAGTGCTCGCACTGCATGGAGACTCGATGATGTGGTGACTGAGTTCTATTCAGCTTCTGAAGACAGCTGCGAAGCTTTTTCTTTTGTGGGTCTATTTGTATATTGTTGCGTCTCAGTCTGTTCCATTGCTTTGTGTCTGAGGAGGAAGGATGCGGATTGCCTTGTTTGTGGGCTGCTGCATTGCATCCTCACTGATTTTTCAGTTCAGTTGCGTCTTCTGCCAAGCGACTGATGGGAGGAAGACGAGGGAGAAGAGTGAGGAAAGTGGGAGGGATGGGTGAAGAAAGTGGGAGAGACGGGTGGAGCAGGGATGCTGCATCATCAATCTTATCTGAAAGCTTCCTTCACATGGCTGACTGACTCGATAGTAGAGTCGATATCTGAAGCTTGAAACTTGTCTATTGAGCTTCTGCAGACAGCTGCGAAGCTCCGTTTTCTCCTGTGGATTTGCTTAAATATGATTGCTTCTCAGTCTGCTCCACTGCTTTGTGCCTGAGGAGGAAGGATGCGGATTGCCTTGTTCGTGGGCTGCTGCGTCCCTACGGATCTTTCGGTTCAGTTCCATCTTATGTCAAATGACTGATAGGAGGAAGACACACTATTGCACCGACGGCTAAAGAAAGAACAAAACATGACGAACACCAAGACGCACTTCATCATACTTGCGGGGTGGATAACATGTCCTAATCTGGCTAAACTGTGCGGTAAGAAGATTTCTGTTGGATGCTTCCAAAATCGCCATGTCTCCCAGGTCGATGGAGCTTTGCAGAGCCTGGAATGGAGTGTTCGACAAATCGCTCAGAGATTGCGTTTCAAACTATAGGCTGCCTACATACGGATCCTCCTCCTTCGATTCGTCCCTTCATACATTCCTGGTCATCCCCTGTTTGCATTAGCAGAAGAAGTTTTACTGGCCGAAATCAAAAAATAGGACGACCAGTAGCTTCTCTACACTTCATCCATGAACATATAACATGCATGGCTCCATCAACAAAACCACGGTAGAAAGACTTAACATGCATGGCTCCATCAACAAAACCACGGTAGAAAGACTTTTGTCGGATGTCTCCCAAATATCGTATCTTGCAGCCTAAATGGAGCTTTCCAGAGCCAGCGGGGAAAGCGTCAGAGGCTGGTCTTCAAGCTAGACGTGGACAAGTATTGTTTCCCAGCTAAAATGGTGATGATGGCTGTTTCGCTCATCAAGACCGCTGTGCGATGAAAGCATGCGCGGTATCTATTCGTGTGCATCTCCTCTTAGGCGTGGACAAGTACTGTTCCCAGCTCAAATATTGATGGTGGCTTGTTTCGCTTGAAATAGAGTTAGCCTACATAACAGATACGCTCGGCTTGGAGGTATCCGTCAGAGTGACAGTGATAGCAGAATCAAAGCTTCAAGACTATTGCTCTTTTGATTGCACGGTCTGCAGGTTTTCGTCTCTGAACCACTAAAGCTGTTGTTTTACCTGCGTGATCTTGATCGGTATGGTGCGCTTTCTTAACCTCTGCAAAGCTCTGTTGAAACTCCAAGAAAAGGTACTCTTGAAAAGGTACTCTTGAAAGCAGCATCCGAGAAAAGTACTTTGCCATGTCATTAATAACTCAAAAAGCAGTGTAGCATAAGCAGTGTAGCATCATAAACAGTGTGTCTTCTTCATTAAGATAATTCTCACACTAGAAGTATCACATCATTCTTGGAAACAAGAAATTTTCACACACAAGATCGACTTTTTGCAACGTTGCGCTGAAGCGTCTTATTATGAACTTCAGGGCTTCAGGAAAGAATATATCTTTCATTCTTTCTTCCAAAATCCACTCCTAAGGTTCTACATTTGAGGCTAACCTACGAGTCCAGATTTGAGGCCAAATCTACATCCGTCTTCCTCTGCAGAACAAAACTCGTCTTCAAGTCATGGATCGACTGGCACATTCTTGTTAAGCCTTGCATAGAGAGGTTCAAATAGAGCAGCAATTCTGTGAGCGGAAGCAACGGCGGTCTGATGAGAAATACAGAAGGACAACAAAACACTCAACAGTCGACAAGCACTCATTGATAGATTAAGAAAGTGCACCATACGGGTCAAGATATCGCAGATGAAACAGCTTTGGTGTTTAGGGACGAAGACCAACACACCGTTCTGGGAAGCAAAAAGAGCAACAGTCTTGAAGCTTTCAGTCTGCTGTCAAGATTACAGTAAGACGCCTTTTGCCGGATAGCTCCAAGCCGAGCGTATATATTGTGTAGGTTTTAATCTATTTCAAGCGGAAAAAGCCATCATCGATATCTTATCTTGAAAACAGTATTTCTTTACGCCTAAAAGAGAATGCACAGGAGAAGTACGTGGAAACCATGAAAATCCACAAACTCGCTTGACGAGCTCTCACGCATTCTTTTTCGGCGAGTCTGACGCTTCTGAGACACGTTCGCATAAGTTGCCGTGCAAAGCCAAACTGAATGTGTGTTCCATATTGTATATATTCAGGCGCCGTTGGGAGCACTTTCAAGCGGGATGCGGGTGAACGTCTTCATTCTCTTTTTGTCCCTAGCACGTTATTCGTCAACAAAGAGTACATGATCTGCAAAAGCAATGGCCCTAGAAGGTTGTTGAAGGTTCAAGTCAATTGAATAGTTTGTGGTTTTGTTGCGCGTCAGGGCGGTGTGTCAGGAAAACTGCAGACTCGCCTTGGATGAAATGCCGAGGAAAGACGAGTGAGTGTAGCTTTGGAAAATCTCCTGGCGGCAGAAGGCTGCATAAAATAGAAGTATCGCCTTTGGCGAATTGCTAGTCCCGCAGCCGCAATACTACCTACGAAAATAACAATGTTAGGTGTGAATTTTGTGAAGCCTTGTCGTTGCTGGTCCAAATCGTGGAAATTCCGCTTTATTTAACCACGCATCATTGTGTCTAATGCACGAAAACGCACTTCATGAATTGTGTTACCAGTGTTACCAATACGAAGAAATACATTGTTTAGAGTAAATCCACCCGCACCTCTATCAAAACTGCTCATAACTGTTTTGTATTTATATTATTATCATATGTTTGTGAATTTTAAGATCGCAAAGGTTGAAGACCGGTGTCTGAAGTAGTCTGTTCGGCGGTCCATTCCAAACTCTGAAAAGCTCCATTAATGTTCAAGATACAATGTTTCTGAAAGGTCCCTAGAGAAATCCCTGTTGGCGTAAAAAATACTTCCCTCGAATACATCCTAGCTGAGGGCATTATGCAGGTCTAACTTAGCTGCAGAACCTGAAATGGACTGCTGAAGAAGGGGCATTAGATATTGGTAATGAGGTCGAACGCGTGTTGCTTGCATCGGCCAAGACATTTCACAAGCTCATGACAATGCTTCAGACGAAGGCTTGACGGAACGAGCCTTGAGAGACCGTACAACTAGCCTCTGCATATTCGCCCCATCGAACACGACATGAAATCGCAATGAGGGGCCACTGAGAGGCAGTAAGCCTGGAATCACTCGCCTTACTTATAACATTTACTGAGCATATCCAATTGAAAAAGACACAGAACAAATGAGCGCACATCTTCATCCGTCGTGAGGACAAACAACTCTTACTGTCTGAACCAAGATCAGGTGGACATCAATCCACTTGTTAATGTCAAGGTATGAAGCCCTGCAGGAGGCACATTTAGCAATCGTTTCAAAGAGTCATGAATGCATAGATGAACGAATGGACAGTGAGAATGCATATCTAATATTATCATTACGATGAATGGAAGTCCCTCATGTGTACGGCTACTTACCAATTTGTCCTCATGAAGCTGACTCCACTAATCGTCTCTGTTCGTGAGGACCAGCCTTCTGACGACATCCAGATGGCCGGCTTTGACAGCGTAATGCAGCGCTGTCGTTCCCCCTGTAGTCACATCAACCCTAGGAATACAGCAGATCCACAGGGTATCCACAAAAGCTAGGTGCTGCTGTACTCATTAATCACTCATTAAAGCAACATTCATCTTACCCCCCATGATTGAGTTGGTGATTTCTCGGCTGTTTCTCCTCCTTTTCGGATGAGCGAGCGTGTATCGGACTACACCCAACCACCTACCCTCATCCCGCGAGACGGCGGCGGGCCCCCCTGTTGCGCATGCAACGAGAAAGGGACGTCTGCGCTGTCCACATGCAGCCGACGATGTGACTGCCGGAATCACAAGCGCCTCTGCACTAACTGTGT